AGTTTTACCTCTGCCCTGGGAGATAATTGGATTACTTCCCAATTATCTCCAGGACAGAGGGAGGGAAGTTAGGATGCATTGTGGTGATGTTTTACCTCTGTGTGTCTGTCATTGGTTCATGTCTGTCCTTTGTCACAGTCTCCCATTTGGTCCCTTAGGGGAGTGTCCTCCAGGTGGGAGACCTGCATAAATACTGAGCAGGTAGCCCTCATTAAACCAGACCACTGCTTGACCCTCAACACGGAGCTCTGTCTCATCTTTGGGGGGATTTACTGTATGCTGATAGACTGATTGCTAGGAGTGTAAGCCACTTGGGTGCTTTTCCTATTCGTCTGCTAGCAGCTATTCGTATGGTTCCAGTTCAGGAGTTTGGAGTGCTATTTTGTATCCAGTTCGGGAGTTTGGAGCATTCCCTTACATGTGGTTCGGGAGTTTGGTGTTCTGCAGTAGCTGGGCCTGCACCTCTGGAAGGGGAAGATCTCCTAAACGGCGGTTTAACCCTTTTATGCTGAGGGTGCCGTTACAGGCAACTTCCATTGGATGTTACTCAACAGCCACTACATGGACTTTACTGAGTTTGGTCTTTCAAAGATAAAAGGAGCAATGTTCAGTGTTTCCGAGCTCTGAACACTTCTCACAGAGTCAATGCATCTCTATGAGGAGATGCTGATTTGCACAGTGAGGCAAATTGCTGCGCATGTTCAGTAGCCTTCCTATGCTTTCTTATAGGAAAGTATTGAATCGGCTGAGATCATCATAATTAATGATCTCCACTGGGGAGATGAGAACACCATGCAGGGTAAGAAAGGCAATTTATTTATTTATTTTAAACCACACTGATACATTTGGACTCTGGAATAACTCCCTTCTATGAGAATGGGAATACAACTAGATTTAATTTAATCGAGTTGACACATTGATGTTGAATGAGATTTTATCTTGTCACCTTTAGTTTTCTATTGAAAAAAATATCAATAAATGGACCCTTTAAAGGCATCATAGAATTCTATAACTGTTGATAAAAACATGTTTATTTCACCTGATACCCAGTAAGTAAATGTACCAGGTAGTTAACTGCAATACGCTTCTCTTATCTTTTGCATTCTCATTTAATGTACAGGATTGACTTCAGCAATATGGAGTTAGCTGGCAAATTAAACCAACATGTTTTAATACTTGTTCTAGACTAAGGAGAACTTGATAAATTCTAATAATGTTTACCACTGTATTTGAAGCTGAATGCATGTTAGCAAATTAAGCAAATGCTGACCAGTCAGTTGATATGCACAATGACCATGTCAGTTGTTTAAGAGAATTGGTCGATAAGCGAGGACCACGGCTTATGCCAAATTTCTCATTCGTGGAAAAGATGCAAGTACAGCTTTGTACTGTAAAGCTGTACCTTGCATTTTTGTCACGAATGAAAACCCACGAATGAAACTTGACGAACAGTACAGGTACGAAATGTACTTTACTGGGATCCCTCTGGACATGGCAAAATTCGCTGACTTAAATTTCGTTATGTTCACATTCGTCGGTTTCTCATTCGCGGCAATTGTACTGTAGTGGGATCCCAGTTTTGTAAAAAAAAATATAGAACTTTACATATAATTTTTTTTAATTTTTTTAAATGGATGGAAAAAATGCAAGTGATGGGAAGCTTGCAGTCACTAAAAAAATAAAACAAAATGAAAACTGGATACATGACAAGTGTACCCAAATGTATCATTACATAATTTGTAAATAAATTGCCTGCTAGTGGCATTTTTGGAATCTCTGCAACCAAGCATTTTATGTCTGGCAGCCTTTGTATAAATACCCTTGACCTTAATATTTATCGCATTACATTCTAATTTAAAATATTAACATTTTGGCAGCAATCCTTAGGCAATTGTGATATTAAACTACTGTTATAAAACCACATACTAGTGTGTGTTTACATCCATTAATAGATTAATAGATACAACAGAAATAGACTTTGTGAACTTGTCATGCAAAATGTAAATTGTGGTCATACTGGTGGGTGTCTGAACACGCATTGTTTAGAGCTCTGAATCCTGGAACAAATGAAATGGTTAATTCATGCCTTGTTTTTATTTGTTTCATGATTCGGTCATATGGTGATTTCTTCTTTTTTTATTTTTTTTTTATTTTGATTGTGCAAAAAATAACAATGGGCTTGTTCAGACACAACAGCTGTTGCAAGCATATCTTTGACAGGTATTATAAACAGGACATGGCATAAAGAGTAACTGTACCTTTTTAACATATGGTAGCAGGAGAAATTAAACAGTGCATAAGGCGATTCTGCGTTACGGAGTTCATGCAAACCACCGATTACCCAAAATTCGGATGGATAGCAATTCATTTTTACTTTGGTTTTCACCAGAGGAACGTTTTCACCTTGTATTTAATCCACATCTTATTCACTGGCTCATATATGTAAAGTTCTAAGAAACCTCAAAACATTTTGGACTCAAAAATACAAATCTGCAGAATCTGGGATGTATTTCTTAAACTGTACCATTTTCAAAACATGACCTGCATTTTGTTTCTAAAAGGAAGAAAGGAGGATTGCACTCAATCCTAAAACTCACAGGGTGCTAACTGGGCATGAGTCAGCATATCCCATGAGAACAATTCGAAAACAAAAATTAAAATCTGCATTGTGTATGTCTGTTATTTGTATTTCCTTTGCTTACCTTCTCACTAAGTCACATTGGTTTCAGTTTTGTTTCTTTTATATTTATTACTCATTGGTATATATTGAGAAGTGTACATTTCTAATATATGTTTGAAGATTTTCCATTTATTTATTATTTTGTTTCACTGCCTGTGAGATGTAGAGCTGCTCTTATCTTGGCCTTTTAAAAATGATATGTACAGATATTACTGTAGGTGAAAGTTTAGGATCCAGTGATAATCAGTCACTGTGGTTTAATATAAGAACAGTAACTGAGTCACACCACACAAAAACAAAAGTTTTAGACTTTAGAAAAACAGACTTTTCTAAAATTAGAATATGTGTAAAGGAGTCATTATCAGACTTAAGCAGTTTAAATGGAGTCCAAGAGAAATGGGATTATTTGAAAGTTGCACTGCTGAATACAACAGAAAAATGCACTAGGCTTGTCAGTAAAAGCAAAAAATCCAAGAAACTACTACTGTGCTACTCCGCAGATGTGGCCAAAATAGTAAAAAACAAAAAAATAGCATTTAGTAATTATAAAAAAACCCAGAGTGAGGAAGATAGAATGATCTATAAGATTAGGCAGAAAGAGGCTAAGCAAGTTATAAGAGCTTCCAAATCACACACAGAAGAGAAAATAGCACAGTCAGTAAAATAGGGGACATAACATTTTTCAGATACATAAATAAGAAAAGGAAAGTAAAACAAGGATTAGTTAGATTAAAAACAAAAGAAGGAAGGTATGTAGAAGAGGATAAAGGTCTAGCTGACTGCCTCAATTAATATTTGTGTTCAGTATTTACAGATGAAAATAAAGGAAAAACAGTTAGGAAAAAGGACAAATGAGTCATTTATTACATGTGAGTTTACAGAGGTTTTATTTCACCTATCAAAAGGTATCTATCTGTGTGTCAGGGTGCATGTATCTATGTATCAAGGTGTGTGTGTACACTGGCAGATAGTGGCACACATATACACACACCTTGACACACAGTGTGTACCTTTGTGTGTGTGTGTATCGATGTATCTGTGTGTCAAGATGTGTATATCTGTGCTTGCATGTGCCAGTTGTATATAGAAACATAGAAACATAGAATGTG